AACCCACCAGCCACTCCTCAGAAGGAAGGTTGGGCAATCCTACTTCTGTAGTGATACTGCCTTGAAAACCCAAGGAGGGGTCGCTATGAGTCAGGTCCAACTCGACTGCACATAACAACAGTATATCTTTATGGAAGTAGATTGTGCTGTCTGCCTTCTGTGGAGTGGCTGATCCGTTTGAACCATCAACCTTCTTGTTAGCAGTCAAATGCCTTAGGCACCTGGACACAAGCTCCTTCATTTGCCTTAAAGCACTGGGCAAATAAGGACCGCTGGTGGCATAGTGTGTAAGGTATTTGACTGCTAACCAGAAGGTTGTCGGTTCAAACTCAGCAGCCACTCTGCAGAAAGCAGACTGGGCAATCTACTTCCAGAAGATTTACCCTCTCAGAAACCCAAATGGGGTCACTGTGAGTTTGGAATTAACTCGATGGCAGTCAGTTTGGTTTTTTAGTGTGCAAATGTTATAAGTAAGCTAATCCTTGTAACTCTTAATTATCATTGCTAGCCCTTCTTTACAAGCGAGGAACTGAGTCTCTGAGGGCTCAAGCTATTTATTGGGGAAGATCACACAAGAAGTGAGCATTAAAGCCAAGACAAATTCTTTCACGTCTCTGGGCCTGTTTTCCGGTCGGCAGAAGTGCGTGGCTCTTGGGGCATTGAAAACACATTTTTTCCAAACAATTAAATACCATGCATTCTCATTTTACAGGTGAGAAAACTGAACCTGAGGCTGGGAGGCAGGGGTGGGGGACCGGAGCGTAAATCACTCGCTGCAGGGAACGCTGGTAGAAAAGTGGCAGAGTGGGACCAGAACTCGCTCGTGTGTTCCCAGCTCCTGAAAAGTCCGCTCGGCCCCTCCGTGAATGGGCGCGCAGTCGGACCGGGGATTCTAGGGAGGCTGAACTCGTCACTCGAAGTGTGGGGAGATTAAATTAGTCGCGAGGGTTCAGAGAAGGGCCTGCCGTTCCCCCATCTCGGATGCCCTCCTAGTTCACGTTCGGCAGGGACCCTAGCGTCCCCAAGCCCACCCAGAAACGATATCAGGTGCTCCAAAGTAACCCCGCCAACGGAGATGGGCGGGAGCAGGCCAGTCTCCGCCCCAATTACGTCACGTCCGGAGGGGCGGGGCCCCGGGGCTTTCCCCAAGACAGGGGAGTATCGGTTAACCCCTGTGTGGCCGGGCAAGCTGGAGCTCCGCGGGCCGGAACCTGAGCGTCAGGGCTCGCCAGCCACACCCCTCGCGGGACTTAAAGGGGCTGGAGGGGCCGGGTTGGGGTGAAGTCCGAACCGAGGGAGCGGGCATGAGGCTCTGCCCGTGCCGGGGAAGCCTGAGCGAGGCGGAGGCCGGGGCGCTGCCCGGAGCGGCCCGCATGGGACTGGAGGCGCCGCGAGGGGGGCGGCGGCGGCAGCCGGGACAGCAGCGACCAGGGCCCGGCTCTGGGAGTCTGGCGGCGCGGCTGGAGGGGGGCGGGCTCCGGGCCTGGATCGAGGAATCCAGTCTCCACACCGAACCCGAGAAGGCTGGCCTCAGGCCTGAGCCGGGGACAGACGATCCTTGGACAGAATCTAGGACAGACGGACAGGCTGAACTCGAGGCAGGTGGTCTGGGAGTTGAGACTGAGAGGCCCAGACAAAAGACAGAATCAGACAGGTCCAGCCTCCAGACACTTGCAGAAAGCAGCAGCCACTGGTCAGAGTTGGAGAGAGCCGGTGGTTGGACGGAGACTGAGAGGGATGCCTTTTGGACTGACCCACGAAGGTTCGATCTCCATTCTCAGCCGGAGGCCAGTGTCTGGACACAGCCAGGGGTCGATGGGCCTCGGACAGAGCTAGAAACAGATGGGTCACAGATCCTGCCAAAGAGGGACAGGGTCTGGGCTGGTGGCCTCTGGACCCACCAGAACAGGTCCAGTGCTGGGACTCAGCGGGCGGAGGCCTGTCCCTCAACGGAGCCAAGTGCCGACTGCTCATGGAAAGAAGTGTATACTGATGGCTCCAGGACACAACAGGGTACTGAAGGCCCCCTGACAGAGCCAGGAGCTGATGGATCCCAGATACTACAAGCTACTGAAACAGCCTGGCAACAGTCTGGGCCTGATGGTTTCCCAGTACAACAAGATACTGTTGGCTTCTGGACCCAGCCTGGAACTGAAGGACCCCAGACAGGCTACCTTTCGGAAGAGCCCAACCAAGATGGCTCAGTAGAGGAACCAGAAACTGGGGAGCTGGGGACTCACCTGTACTCTCACCTGGGGTGTAGTCCCCTGTGCTCCGTACCCCGGCTCATCATCACCCCTGAGACTCCTGAGCCCGAGGCCCAGCCAGTGGGACCCCCCTCCCAGTTTGAGGGAGGCAGTGGCGGCTTCTCCTCTGCCTCCTCTTTCGACGAGTCTGAGGATGATGTGGTGGCCGGGGGCGGAGGTGCCAGCGACCCCGAGGACAGGTCTGGGGTGAGTGGAACCCCTGCCCCTGAGCCACAGCCCCAGACCTCTTACCCCGCTGCCTGTAACTGAGATATGACTTGTTGGTTTCCTCTCAGCTCCCTGCTAGAATTTCATCTCCATCCACTGACTTCCTCCACCTGACACCCCTGGTTACTAACCCTCTCCAGGGACCCACCCCCCAACTCTCTCCCCACCCCCCAGTACTGGGTTCTAAAATGGAGGGCTGCTGACTGATTTCAGGGCACCCAAACCAAACCCATTACCATCGGGTTGATTCCAACTCATAGTGACCCCGGTAGGGTTTCCAAGGCAATAAATCTTTATGGAAGCAGACTGCCCATCTTTCTGTCATGGAGGGTTGGTGGGTTCAAACCGCCAACCTTTTGGTTAGCAACTCAATGCCTTAACCATGATGCCACCAGAGCTCCTTTCAGGGCGCCCAAGAACCTATGAAATTGTGAGACTGTGTGTAAATTCCATTTGCACTCGTAGTTTTGCAACAGGGGTCTGTAAACTCGATCGGTCCGTCTGGAAAATCTGTGATCCCCAAATCTGAAGAACACTGTAAGAGGGAGACAGAGAACGTGTGCTTTTTCTATCTCAGATTTCTCTATCTGCCTTCAAGGGCTTGGGAACTTTCTTCTCCACCTTTTAGCCCACTTGTACATTTTTCTAGGGAGTGAGCCAGCCCCCAGCTTTCATCAGCTTCTCAAAGGGCTGTGTGAACTGGAATGCCGAGGGAGCCCAGCCCAGCCAGGGACCCTCCCAGGCTCCCTTCACCCCCAGCCCTCCTCTCCTTCTCTACAGACTCTTATTTACAGCCCCCACCCTGGCCCCCGGCTTGGGTGTGGTTCAACTCCGTGAATCAAGAGGGCAGGCTGGCCAGGCAGGTTTGGCCTCACCTTGAGTTTGGAAGCCTAGTGCCTGCCCCTCGGTAGCATCAGCCCGGCTCTTATCACCCCATAGGCCTCCCTTAGGGACATGTTAGGAGCTCTGGTAGCGTAGTGCTTAAGGCACTTGACTGCTAACCAGAAGGCTAGCAGTTCAAACCCAACAGCCACTCCTCGGAAGGAAGGTAGTGATACCGCCTCAGAAACCCAAGGAGGGGTCGGGTCCGACTCAAAGGCACATAACAGCAACAACAAGAAGGGACATGTTCACATACATAGCCATGGACATGATGGACAGACTGACTTACCTCTACTTGCCAGCTGGGGCAAAGGAGCTGGCCCTCCAGGACTTCTGCCTTTCTTTGATTTTCTGTCTGTCTACTCACTCGTCTCCAGGATATCTCAGAACCCCTGAGCTGGAAGGAGGCAATACCACCATTAATAATAATAGCAGCTAGTACTCACTCATGCACAGCCCTGTGCTAAACTCTTTTAACTCATTTAATCCTCATAGGAGCCCTGTGAGGGAGATAGTATTATTACCCCCATTTTACAAATGAGGAAACAGGCACAGAGACCACACACCTTGGAAGACACAGAGCTGAGATTCGAACCCAGGTCATCTAGCGCCAGTCTGTGTTTTTAAATATTGCACCACTGCGCCATTTACTCTGGTGGCGTAGTGGGTAAGGCATTTGGCTGTTAACCAGAAGGTCAGCAGTTCAAACCCACCAGCTACTCTGCTGGAGGAAAATGAGGCCATCTGCTCCTGTAAAGATTTACAGCCTTCGAAACCCAGTGGGGGTCCCAATGACTTGGAATCAACTCGTTGGCACTGGGTTTGGGTTGTTTTGGGTGTGAGTGTCTTTTACTAATAATGATCATCAAAAAAAGAAAACAAATAAACCCCAAGCTCACTGTCATCAAATTGGTTCCAACTCATAGTGACTTCCATTGAGTTTCTAAGGCTATACTGCTTCATCTTTCTCCCACGGAGCAGGTTTGAACCATTGACCTTTTGGTTAGCAGCCAAATGCCTTAACCACTATATCACCAGAGCTCTTTATAAAAATGATCATGAAAACAAACAAACTCACTGCCAGGGAGTCGGATCCAACTCATTGCGACCCCTCCTTGGATTTCTGAGGCAGTATCACTACAGAAATAGATTGCCCAAACCCACCAGCCTTCTGGTTAGCAGTCAAATGCTTTAGGCACTATGCCACCAGAGCTCCCAATAATGATCATTGCCAACCTTTATTGAGCACTTACTATATACCCAGCTGTATTCTAAGTGATTTATACGCAGTCAGTCTTTGAAGCCTCAGAACAGTGCTGTGAAGTTGGGATGATGCTTATCTCCGTTTTCCAGGAGAAACTGAGGCGGAGACGGGAGCTCACTTGCTCAGGGTTGATGGGGCCGGGTCAGAGCCCGGCTTCTCACTCAGTTCTGACTTTAAAGCGCGGTCTTTAGCAAGCCCTGTTCTGTGTGGATCTGTCCCTAGCTTGCCTTCTTCCCAGGCTTTCCTATCTCCGGTTTTCTCTCATCCTTGTGGGATTTGCCTCCTGGGTGCAGGTCTGCCCGTCACAGTCCCTGCTCGGGCACCTTCCATGGCTCCCCGGGGCCTTTGGGATCGTGGTCAGGACCCCAGTCCTGCATTCAGAGCCTCCTGGTTTCAGGCTTCTCTTCTCTGCTCCTGACACCCTCTGCTGCCACTAAACCAAAGTACACGGTGTTCCTTGAACACTCTGCTGCCATCCAGCCTCCACACGTTGCTCAAGCGGTTCCCACTGCCCAGAATACCCTCGCTTCCTTTCGTTCTTGCTTCATTGTGAAATCCCGTCCAACCTTAAAGGCCCAACGTCCTTTGCTCTTTTCCACTTTCCTTCCTTCGTTTCTTTCCGCATCCACCCTGTACACCTCATCACACGACAGTCGCTGAACCCCTACTATGTGTTCATCCCTAATTTGGCTTTGCTGGAGACACAGGATTGACCATGACAGCCCTTGGTCCTGCCTTCATGGGGCTCCCGGGCCAGTGGGGGAGACAGACACATCAGGAGATGGTGATAGCTCAGAGTGATTAGGGCTGGGATGGGGGAAGCGCAAGGGATTGTGGGACTCAGGAAGTGAGTGGCCGGACCTGGAGAATCAGAGGGGGCTTCCTGGAGGATGGGATTGGTGAGCAGAGACCACCATGCAACCATCCGAGAAAGCCCAGATTAACCATTAGTTGTTAGTTGCCGTCTCGTGGATTCCGACCCTGGTGACCCCGCGTGTGCACAGTAGAACTGCTCTGTAGGGTTTTCCTTTCAGAAGCCAATCACGAGGTCTGTCTTCCAAGGTGCCTCTGAGTGAGTTCAAATTGCCAACCTTTTGGCTGGTATTTGACTGCTTAATCATTTGCACCAGCCAGAGAATCCTAGATTTTAAAAGTATAGAGAGAGTTGATACTAAATGTATTTATGATTTAAAATAAGACAGTCTCAACGAGTCTTTTTTAATCCAAGCAACGTTTTCTGAGCACTTGTTGTGTGCCAGGCCATGTGCTGGGGACACAGTCATGACCATGACCACCAGAGTCCCAGTCCTCAGGAGTTTATAGTCCAGCAGGAAGGTTGAGGGGAAGCCCCAGGACTGCAAGGCCTAATCAGAGCTGGAATCCTAGCACTGTGCTGTGTGATGTCAGGCAAGTAACTTCACCTCTCTGGTCCTCTGCTTCCTTTTCTGTAACCCAGGGACAACAGCCCTCCTGGGATTAAGTCATTGTGCCTGGAATGTTCTAGGTGCTTAGTAAACAGGAACTTTTATTAATCATCTCCTCCTCAGGGCTGGCAGCCCGAAGAGGAGAGGGATTGGCCCTTCCTAAATCCTGCACTCCAACTCTCTGAGGTCTGCTAGGCAGCTGGGCTCTGAGGGGGTGGGAGAGAAGAACATGCCCTTGATCCTGGGGAAGGGGGTGGGTAAGAGCCGCATGACTTCCTTCTCTGGAGAAGACCGAAATCCCTTGCTGACAAGTCCGACTCACTGTGACCCCGTAGGGCAGAGCACAGCTGCCTCACAGGGTTTGCAAGGCTGTAAATCTTTACGGAAGCACACTGCCACATCTTTCTCCCGTGGAGGGGCTGGTGGGTTTGAACCACTGACCTTTGGTTAGCAGCTGAGCCTTTTAGCCACTGTACCACCAAGACTCCTCAGAGGGGAGCTACTCTCCCAGAACTTGCTAAGTGCCTGCAGTGCACTTAGGGGAGAGGGGGGCAGGAGGGAGAGAGAGAATCAGACTTTAACTTTGTCTCAGAAAGCTCTTAGTAAGTCAGATTGATATAACCACATCCCTGTTTTGTATTTACTTTTCTGGTTTTTTGTTTTTGTTTTTTCCTCTCTCTGGATCTATTCACTATTCATCTTTTTTTTTTTTTTCTGTCATTACTTTCTTTGTCTCTCTCACTCTCTCTCTCTCTTTCTTTCTTTGTCATTTATGGACTCTACTGCCTCTGTATTAGTCAGTCAATCAGAATTTGCTGTACTTGCAAACCACCCCCAAGTCTCAGTCACTTCCAACAACAGAAGACTGTTTTGTTCCCATTACGTACTGGCCATAGGAGCTCTGGTGGCTAAGGCACTTGACTGCTAACCAGAAGGCTGGTTGTTCAAACCCACCAGCCACTCCTCGGAAGGAAGGTGGGGCAATCTACTTCGGTAGTGATACCGCCTCGGAAACCCAAGGAGGGGTCACTATGAGTCAGGTCTGATTCCACGGCACATAACAACACAACAACCTACTGGCCATGGGTTAGTGATGGGTGAGGGCTTTGCTCCACGGTGTCTTCACTCAGGGGCCCCAGCTGATGGGGACTCCAGCAGAAAGAACATGGAGTCCCATGTTGGCTCTCAAGGCTTCTACCCAGAAGTGACCCTTCTGCTCCCATTTCACTGGGCAAAGCAAGTCAGTGTCCTAAGTTCAGGAGGGCAGGGAAGTCCCTGGAAGGGGAAGAGCTGGGCCTGTGTGGTGAACAGCACTCAGGGCTGCCACAGTCTCTGTCTCTGTCCCCGTCTCTCTGTCATCACTTTGTCCCCCATGTCTCTCCGTGGGTCCAGCCATCCACTCGTACCTCTCCTTGTCCCTGGAAGATCTGACCTGGTTTAAGGACAGAGGGGGTCCTGTGTCGTCAGCCTTAGGAGAAGGGAGTTGTGTCGAGGTCTGGAGGCTGGTTGTTAGCACAGCCAGGAGTCTATCCTGACTCACACACTGGCTCTGTGAGCCAGAGAAGGATAGAGGCAGAGAGAAGCACAGATATAAAGAAGTGATGATGACAGGGACGGAAATGGAGGGAGACACGAAGTCTTTCCCTACATTTGCTGAGGTGTTGGAGCCACGAGTGCTGAGGAGGTGGGATCTGCCGAGCTTGGGAAGAGCAAGCTCGGGAAGCCTCTAGACTACCCTAGATCCCTCTTCTCACTGCACCTCTACTCCCACCCCTCCCTGGCCTTGACCCTGACCCCACCCTGCTCTGTCCTACACAGAACAAGCCATGGAAGAGGCTGAAGACAGTTCTGAAGTACTCACCCTTTGTGGTCTCCTTCCGTAAACACTACCCTTGGGTCCAGCTGTCCGGACATGCTGGTAAGAGCTGGGGGCGATGGACAGAGACCCCTGGGGCTGGGGAAAGGGCAGCTCTCTGAGCCTTAGTCTCCCCATATGTGCAGTGGGCTTGATGACAGCCCCTGTCTCATGGGGTGGTTATAGGAAGCACTGAGGCCTGGGACCAGCCTGTCACGCATCAGGGCGGATCCCAGTATGGGGGGGAAGGGCCCCGATTCTGGGGCAGATGGACCTGGGGTCCAGTCTCAGTTCTGCTCTTTATTGATGGATGAGCCTCGGCAAATCACTTTCCCTTGCTGGGCCTTAGTTTCCTCATCTGTATGTGGAGACAGTCATACCTCCTGTGCGGGCTGACTGAAGAGTTAATATCAAAATGTATATCAGACTGAGCCATAGCCCTCTTGTGAATGTCATTCCCTGTCCCTTCCCAGTGCCCAGCACATAGTAGGCCTTCAATAAATAAATAAATAGAGACTATAATGGCTTTCAGGAGCTCTGGTGGCATAGTGCCTAAGGCATCTGACTGCTAACCAGAAGGCTGGTGGTTCAAACCCACCAGCCACTCCTTGGAAGGAAGACTGGGCAATCTACTTCCATAGTGATACCGCCTTGGAAACCCAAGGAGGGGTCACTATGAGTCAGCTCCAACTCCACAGCAGTGGAGTTTATAATGGTTTTCGCACAGGTGTCCAGCACAGAGTAGCTCAGTGCATAGCACATAGTAGGTGCTCAATGAATAGTATCCCCTGATTTTTCTTTCTACCCAGACCTTGGTACGGTGTTTCCCACACACCACACTCATTCAGTATGTCATAATTTGCCATTTATCTTTTTACCTGAAGTTTAGCTCAGTACACAGTAGGTGCTCAATAAATGATAGCCCACTACTGTTAGTAGCCTATTACTATTGGTAATAGTCTTATTACCCAGCACTTAGCATAGTGGCCAGCACACAGTAGGTATTCAGTGTTGTTGTTGTTGTTATGTGCCGTCCAGTCGGACCTGACTCATAGCAACCCCTCCTTGGGTTTCCGAGGCAGTATCACTGCAGAAGTAGATTGCCCCACCTTTCTCCCGAGGAGTGGCTGGTACGTTTGAACAGCGAGGCTTCTGGTTAGCAGTCAAGTACCTAAGGCACTAGGCCACCAGAGCTCTCAGGTATTCAGTAGATAGCTCCATTTCTTCTCTTACCTGGAGCCCAACAGATGTTCCTGTTGCGCTCTCATAAAGTATCGGTGATTCAAATCTTCTTGCCATACTTGGTTCATTGTAGGTACCTGCTTAGTGGTATTTAATTTCTCCCCAGTGCCTGACACAGGGTAAGAAGACAAACAGTGCCCACTGTGCACCACTCTTGGTCCTCACAGAAACTCTAGGAGGGAGAGAATGTTTTCTAATTTTCCAGGTGAAACTGAGGCTCCCAGAGATGGGGTGGTTTGTGCACAGGCACGTAGCTGGCGAGGGACAGAGCTCCATTCGACCCCAGTGCCCTGGCTCATAACCACTGTGTTCTCTTGCGTCTTGAGCAACATCCCCCAAGCAACACAAACCTTCTTTTTGAAAAGAGTCTGACGGGAAAACAGGAAGAAGAATACAAACTAGGCGTTTGTTCTGTTCCAGCCCTGTGCTCACTCAGCACTTCCCATGAGCTCATGTTACTCTCCATAATGGAAAATTGGGATGGGGTGAGGTGGGCCGGCAGGGGAGACACTGGGACTGGGTGGTCTGGGTTCAGATCCACGCTTCCTTGCTGTAGGACTGAAAGTAATATAACTCTGCCTTGGTATTCTGAGCTGTGTAAGGGGGTAATAAGCTCACTGAGTGAAGAATAAATACGCTGGAAGATGGAAACTGGTTAGATCAGGTCCTGGCACCCGGCAGTGCTCAGGAAATGTTTCCTCGCTGGTCCAGCGAGCCCCTGACGTAGATTTGACTATGAGTCCCATTTTCCAGGCGAGGAAATTGACGCTCAGAGAAGTACAAGTACCACTTGTACTGAGTCACACAGCCCATGAGTGGCAGGCTTGGGAGATGTGGATCAAGATCCAATTCCAGACCTCACTTCCTGATCCCAGGAGCAGATCTGAAGGACTGGTGCTATTATTTAAGGAGACTGCTATTCCAGGCAATATGGTAGGCTGGAGAACTTTTTGAAACATTCAATTAAAAACAAAATAATAAAAAAGTAGAATTGCTAGATGAAATAGAAGAAGTACTGAAAAAAAAAAAAAAAACGCATCGCTGAGGAAGGAAGGGAATCCTCAGGGGTAAAAAAATGAAGAGAACTGGAAATAAGAGTATGGCGCTCTGGCGGCCCAGTGGTTAAAGATTTGGCTGCTAACCAAAAAGCTGGTAGTTCGAATCCACCAACCGCTCTGTGGGAGAAACATGAGGCAGTTTTCCATAGAGATTTATAGCTTTGGAAACCCTAAAGAGCAGTTCTACTCTGTCCTAAAGGGTTACTGTGAGTTGGAATTGACTTGATGGCAGTAGGTTTGGGTTTGTTTTTGGAGACAGTAGGATGTTGGTGTCATGGCTGCAGTGGAGGTGCATTCTGATTTTGACACCAGGGTCTGGATTTGCTTGGCCACTGTGTCAGTCAGCTATGCCCCAATCGTGCTGTGTAACTAACCACCCCACCTACAGTGCCTTAAAATAGTAGTCACTGATTCTCACTCAGGCATCTCTGGGTTGCCTGGAGTCAACTGTCTAGGCTGAGCTTGGCTGCCGGCGGAGCGGTGGGTCCAGGTATGCTCTGTGGGTCTCTAATTCTCCTTGGACCACTGGGACAGCCAAGGCAGGTTTTCCTAATGGCAGGGGCGGAAATACAAAAGGGCAAGCCAACCACTCAAGTGCATGTCAATAGCCCATTGGCCAAAACAAGTCACATGGTCCATCCAACATCAGTGGTCAGAAGGTATATCCCTGTTCCGGAGGTGAGGGGGGAGTGAGTGTTTGCCCTGGGTTTGAAGTCTGGTTGTGCTGCTGCTTTGCTGGGTGTCTTGCCCTCTCTGGACCTTGGTTTCCTCATTTGTAACATTGGAAAGTCGTATCGACTGACAGGATGTACAAGGACTAAAGATAACATGTATTTAGAGCTTTGATTCTTAATCAGTGGTAGTAATTGTGAAGACTTTGAGCCTGTATAATGTGAAAAACTCAAACTGCAACCCTATATAAAGCTGGGGCTTATTTTATTTTTTTCAGTTTTTATTGTGATTTGGGTGAACGTTTATAGAGCAAATTCCTTTTCCATACAGCCATTCATACACATTTTCTTTCGTGACATTGACTGCAATTCTCCACAATGTAACAGCTCTCTTCCTACATCATCCCCATAGTTACCTCTTCCCTGTGTCTTTGCCTCCCATACACTCCTGCCCCATGAGCTGTCTCCCTGTGCAAACACTGCCCTTCTGTTCCCCCATGATTGATCTTTCCAAGGAGTGTATCTTCCTGATGTAAATGTTCACCTCATATGCCTGTCTGTTGTTTGGCTGGAAGCCACAGGAGTGAGTTCAGTTCCGGACCTGAAGGGTAACTAGGGGCCATAGTCTCAGGGGTCTCACTAGGCTCTATCAGGCTGGCAAACCTGGTCTTTTTTTTTTTTATAATTTTGAGTTTTGTTCCACATTGTTCTCCAACTCTATCCAAGATCTTCTGCACCAATCCCCCTCTGAGTGGTTGACAGTGGTAGCTAGACACCATCTGGGTCATCTGGTGGTCATACAGGCGGAGGATCACGTGGTCTACCAGTTTCTTGGACTAATTGTTTCCATGCAGCTTTGCTTTTCTTTGTTCTTCTTTGTTCTGGGCGAGGAGAGACCCATTGTTGCTTGCTTTGCTTTTCTTTGTTCTTCTTTGTTCTGGGCGAGGAGAGACCCATTTGTTGGTTTTAGATGGCCACTTGCAAGCTTTTAAGACCCCAGTCATTACTTACCAAAGTAGGATGTGGAACAGTGTTTTTGTGTAGTGTGTTGTGCCAATTGAGCTTGATGTCCCCTTTGCCACGGTCTTGAGTCCACAGGTCCAACTACTTAATCCCTCAGGGTAGCTGGTGGTGGCCAAGAAGCTACCACAACCTTGCCCCTCGTCAAAAGCTAGGGCTTTTGAAGGCTGTTCCTCAGTGAAAAGATACATAGACCAGACCCAGGGTCAGCAAACTGGTTTTGTAAAAGGCTACATAATTAACCTTTTAGGTTTTGCAAGGCATACAGTCTCTGTTGTGAATTAAATCTGCGGTTGCTGCAGGAAAGCGGCTGTAGACAGTAGGTAAATACATGAGCATGTTGGTGTTCCAACACAACTTTATTTTATTTACAGAAACAAGCAGTGAGCTGAACTAGACAAGCTGTGTCCATCCGCAAAGAGGACAGTAAAGGAGCTTGTCCATCTTGATCATCTTTAGATCAGAGTTGGAAAGGGCAGAGCCCACCTAAGACTGTGTAAACAACCCTGCCATCTGTATGTGTTCTGGTCATTTTTGCTCTCTCCCCATTGCTGTAACTGTAATACAGTTGTCTTACTGCTTTAAACAAACAAACAAACAAAAAACCCAAGAACCTTCAAAACTCACAACTTAGCAGTGGTTAAAAAAGCCATGATCCTCACAGGTTTTGTGTTAGGAATTCAAACAGGGCCCAGTAAGGGTGGCTTATCTCTGCTCTATGATATTTGGGGACTCAGCTGGACAACTCAAAGTCTGGGGGCTGGAAACTTTTTTGGAGGGTCATTCACTCACACGGTTGGCAATTGATGATAGCTTTTGGCTGGGGCCTCAGCTGGGGTTTCCAGCTGGAAAGCCTTTATGTGTCTTCTCCATGTGGCTCCTTTGATTTCCTCACAATAGGGTGTCCTCAGACAGGTTGGATTTCTTACCTGGCAGATCAGGGCTGCAAAGGCAACATCTGTCAATAAGGCAGAAGCTGCATCTCCTTTTCTCACCTGTCCTCCGACGTCGCACAACCTCCCTTCTGCCACAGCCCTCCTAGATTCAAGGGGACAGGAAGTAGCTCCCACTTCTTGATGAGGAATGGCAATTCTAGAAGAGCATTCAGGACAGGAGATATTGTCGCCATCTTTGGATAATAGAGTCTAAAAATACATTTTCTACCAAAAGAATTTGGAATTCTAATCTACACTAAGTGTATGGTGCAGAAAACCCCAGACTGATAAATTAACTTAAATAGACCCCAGTTGTTAGCATCCTGGGACTCCAGGTAAAGGCAAAGGGAAATCTGCTCCAAAGAGTCATGCTCTTAGGACTAAGATCTCACCAAATTCCCACAGATGACCATTAGCTCAAAATCCAAAATTACAAAACAGATGAGGAAACCTGCTGTGAACAGGACTCAGTTTAAAGAACAGGCAGAAGAAATAGGCCCTTCCCTGCCCAGCCCTAGCCAAGATCTTGAGAGTTGCGAGAGACAACATTGCAGAAGGGGTGGGAAGGGTGGTGGTGGTGGCCAGAGCCTGCTGCACACAGGGAGGTGGAGGGATTCTCTTTCTGACCCAGTTTCTGACCCTCCCGTAGGTAACTTCCAGGCGGGAGAGGATGGTCGGATTCTAAAACGTTTCTGTCAGTGTGAGCAGCGCAGCCTGGAGCAGCTGATGAATGACCCCCTGCGGCCCTTTGTCCCAGCCTACTATGGTGTTGTGGAGAAGGGTGGCCAGATGTTCAACCAGATGGAAGACCTCCTGGCAGACTTTGAGGGCCCCTCCATCATGGACTGCAAGATGGGCAGCAGGTGTGGTCAGGGGCATTCGTGGAAGCAGGAGTAGAGGGTCAGGGTGGGTAGTCCTGAGGAAAGTGCCAATATACATCTCTACCAGCGATGGACGCAAGTTCCAGTTGTTCTATATTCTTGCCAACACTTTGTATTGTCTGTTTTTAAAATGTTAACCATTCTAGTGGGTGTGTAGTGGTATTTCATTGTGGTTTTAATTTCTATTTCTTGAATGACCAAAGAAGTTGAGCTGGTTTTCATATGTTAATCAGCTATATGGAAATTCTCTTTTGAGAAGTGCCTGTTTGAGTCTTTTGTCCATTTTTTTTAATTGGGTTATATTTTTCTTTTTGATTTGCAATTCTTTTTATATTCTGGATACCAGTTATTTATTGGATATATATTTTTTTTTCCCCCACTCTGCCATTTCAATCTCTTAATAGTGTCATTTGATAAACAAACATCTTTTTAAAACAAAAGGACTTTTAATTTAGTCCAGTCTGAAATTATTTTTGATTTATGAATAGTGCTTTTTGTGTTTAAGAGACATTTGCCTTCTCCAGGATCACAAAGATGTTGTTTGCGTCTACAAATTTTATGTGTTAACTTTCACATTTAGATCTGTAATCCATCTAGAATTAATTTTTGTGTTTGGTGTGAGGTAGGGGTTAAGGTTCATTTTATTTCCGTGTGGATGGCCAGTTGACTCAGCACCATTCATTGAAAACGCTTTCCTTTCCCCACTGAACTGCAGTGCCTTCCTTGCTATAAATTGGGTGAATGTACACGTGTCTCTTTGTGTGTTTTGTTCATTGCCATTGATGTATTTGTCTATCTTGTGCCAATATCACACCAAAGGCTTTGTAATATATTTTGGTACCAGGTGTGTAAGACCTCTGGGTTTGTTCTTTTCTAATTTCCCTTGTCACGTCCTCTCTGTCCCCAGGACCTACCTGGAGGAGGAGCTGGTGAAGGCACGGGAGCGGCCCCGACCCCGGAAGGACATGTATGAGAAGATGGTGGCCGTGGACCCTGGGGCCCCCACCCCCGAGGAGCACACCCAGGGCGCAGTGACCAAGCCCCGCTACATGCAGTGGAGGGAGACCGTGAGCTCCACCTCCACCCTGGGCTTCCGGATCGAGGGCATCAAGGTGAGAGCCTGTTGCTGGAGGGCTTGGAGCTAGATCTGAGGCCGAGCTTCCCAGGGACTGTGGGAAACAAGCAAGTTCCAGAGATGGCGGGAGATTGCAGAGGATGAAAACGTCAGGGCTGGTGGTGGCTCCACTCCCCTCTCCCACCACACCCTCAGAGACCAGGGTTGGTGTGTCCGTCTGCGTCTGCCGGAGCCTCTCTGACTCCATCTCCTCCTCCTCTGTCTCCTGCCTGGGTCCCTGCCCAGCCTCCCTGAACTCCTGTCTACCAAGCTCAGCCCCTCTGTTCTAACATCCAACACAGTACCCGGAACAATCTTGATTCTCCTTTAAAGAGGAAGTTATTTATTTTTCTTTTTTCATTCCTTGTATTTTTATAAATTAAATTTTGCACTGGTATTCTCACCTGTCCTTGGGTGGTGCCCACAGTTAAGCACGTAGCTACTAACAAAATGATGTAATCACTCAGCTGGCGGTTCACGACTCACCCAGAGGTGCCTTGAAAGGCAGGCCTGGTGATTCACACTGCCAGAAGCCAAAGTAACATTATAAAAACGTGTATGTTGAGAAACGTCTCTCCCAGCATTGCCAGTGTCCTTCCCATTTCGTCCCTACCCCACCTGCCTATTCATAGGAAACCACTTTATTCATTTCTAGTATTTATTTCTGCAAATATGAGCAAATGTGACGCATATCCTAAATTTTCCCCTCATTTTCTTACATAAAAGGTGGCATAGTATGCAGCTGATTGATACTTTGCCTTTTTCACTTAACCGTAATGTCCGAGAGAGTTTTCCATATCATTCCATAAAGAGCTCGTCCTTCCTTCTGTCTGTCTCTCTTTCTTTCTTCATCTGTGTAACACTCTCTTGTGGATGTACCACAGTCCCCTACAGACACTTGGGTTGTTTCCATGTTTTGCTGTAACAAATGGTGGCTTGTGAATCAGTCTGTACATATAACGTTTTGCAGGTGAGTACTTTTAGCTGTCAAGTCTATGCCTGGAAGCAGGACTACTGGGTCAAAGATGAAACACTCTGGTGATTTTGCTAGAGATGACAGAGTCCCTTCCCAGGTGTCATACGCTGTGCGTCCCACCAGCAACATATGAGAGTGACTCTTTCTCCACAGCCTTGCCTTAGCTAGCTTTCTAAGTTGGAAATCTGACTGTGTTGTCCTCAGGCTCCCAACCCCTCTGTGACTCCCTAGTGCCCTCAGGAGGAGTTTTCAGGCCTCCAGGGCCCTTCAGGGTCTAGCCTTTTCTCTGCTCTTCTTCCTTGTCTCTCTTCAGGCAATAGTGGGTGCCTTTCTTTCCCGCAGTGAGTTCTGTTCTTATCTGCCATAGGGCTTCTGCACATGCCTTTCCATCTGCAAGGAATATTCTTCCTGCTGCTGTTCTCCTGGTTGGCTCCCAGTCATTTTCCTGTCTTCTTTTTAAGTTTGCTTCCTCAGGGAAGCCCTCCCTGATTTCCACCCTACTCGATCACCCTACCCTCTTTACCTCCTCAAAGCTCCCTCTACACTTTGGTTTTTCTTCTCTTTCTCTGTGATTGTTTTAGCCAGAGTTTGCCTCCTTTATCTGAGGTGTCTGTCCCATTACCTCCAGGTTACTGGTGCCCTCACAGCACCTGCCAGAGTGGCAGAATGAGTTACGTGGCTTCCCTGAAAAATGACGTGAATCTCGTTTATTACCCGCTTACTCTGTGCCAGGCTCTGTGCTCTACATCCTACGTACCTAATCTCATCTAATCCTTATGGCAGCTTTGGGAGGTTGCTACCAACACAGTGCCCACTGGCCAGGTGAGGAAACCCAGGCTGAGGCAGGTACAACGACTTGCTTAGGCCGCCCAGCTGGCAAGCAGCCGAGTCACAATTCAAAGCCACATCCACTCCCCCACAGCCAACCCTTGGCTAGACTGGCTCAGAAGAACCGGTTGTTTAGGAGTGTGGCCTGGGGCTGGGCTTGGCTGGCTGAGTAGGCTGATTTGTCCTGAATGACAAGCAAACGTTGCAACAAGGAGATGGGTGAGTGGCCCGGGGAGGTGCCTGATGTTGCTCAGTGTTGGCGGTGGGAAGGAAAAGACATGACAGTCTTCCTTCAACCTGTGCCCTGCAGAAAGCCGACGGGACCTGCAACACCAACTTCAAGAAGACACAGGAGCTGGAGCAGGTGACAAAGGTGCTGGAGGACTTTGTGGATGGTGACCGCCGAATCCTGGTGAGAGGGACCCCACATACCCTGTGTGTCAGTTAGCTTTTGCTATGTAACTTCCGCACAACGTAGCAGCTTAAAACCACCACCGTTTATTACTGCTCCCTAGTTGGTGGGTCTTTGTTCTGCATGGGGGTTGGCTGACACCGGCTGGCTGTGCTCACACATCTGCAGTCATGCATCCTAGGCTGCCTGGCCTAGGATGACCTTGTTCACATGTCTGGCTGTTGGCTCAGGACTTGGCCATGCAGCTCTCATGATCCAGCAGGCTAACCTAGGCTTGTTCTCAGTGTGAAAGCAGGGATCCAAGATAATGGGCAAAATCACAGGGCTCAGAGGGGCGCCCTCATTTCTGCCATGTTCTGTTGGCCAAAGCAATGACCAAGCCTAAGTTCAACAGCAAAAATGAAACAGTTGCTGTTGACGCCAGCTCACAGTGATCCCGTGTGTGTCAGAATTGGACTGGACTCCTCCAGGGTTTCCAGGGGCTGATTTTTCAGAAATAGACCACCACACCTTTCTTCTGAGGTGCCTCTGGGTGGACTGGAACCAACAACCTTTGGGTTAGCAGCTGAGTATTTTAACCATTTGCATCACCCAGGGAGTCCAAGCCTAGGTTAAAGGGAAGGGGAACGGACCCTACCTTGTGATGAGAGGAGCTGCAAAGAATTGTGGGTCTTTGTGTAATCTGCCATGCTCTGTCCCACCCTGATACATCCCACCCCCTCCATTTTCCCCCTGGCTTCTCATATCCCATCCTGCCTTGGGGCCAGGCCACTCCTTTGGGATACGGGTGAAAGTGGGAAGGCTCCACAAAGTCCCACTGCTAACCAGGAAACCCTCCCTCTCTCCCACAGACAAAGTACGTGGCACGGCTAGAAGAACTTCGTGAAGCTCTTGAGAAGTCCCCGTTCTTCAAGACCCATGAGGTGTGAGCCCCGGCTGCCATGGGAGCTGTTGGGGGGGGCAGTTGTTGGGGCCCATGTGGCACCAAGGAGAAACCGTTGAGAGTCACAGGCCAAGGCTACAGAAAGGAGGCCCCAAGCTTTGGGGTTTGTGTTTTCAGGGTTGGCAGCAGAGGGGACCTTGGGGAAGTGGAGCAGTCTGGCTGGCCAGCTCTGCCACTCACCAGCTGGGTGACCCTGGGTCTCAGTGTCCCCCCTAACTGGGGAAGCATGGTAGTATTTTCCTTGTAGGGCTGCTGAGGGTGTGAGGTGACTGACTGGCAAGTGATGTTCAGAGCACAGAAGCACACTGAATCTGCTCTGGTTTTATAATTCTGATTATTGATGATTTTTGTTAGATACATTCCATGTTTCATGGATCCTGCCCTTCCCCACCAGCCTGAGTCTCTCTGGAAACGTTCACCTCCCTGGGGCTGGCTGAGAGGATTCACCCACAGGGAGCTTCTCCTCTCTGCAGCTTTTCCATCTCCCCCTCAGTCCCCTCTCATCTCTGCCTCCTGGTGTCACTGAGTTTCTGACAGAGCACTGATCTAGCAGCTGGGCTGACGAGTCCATGAGAGCCTGGGTAGCTGTTCCAGGTGGCCTCAGTCTCGCACCTGTAGGGTGGGGGGGACAGTGGCATTACCTCATGGGGGTCGGAAGGGTGAAATGAATTAATGCAGCAGAAGCCTGTCCATAGTAAACCTCCATATGTGCTGGTTTATATTATGTTTGGCATCATCAAGGTCACATGGATTGTCCTTGTTACTGCCTTTGGGCTTTCCACAGGAGTTGGAAAGAGGCCTGGGGTCCCCATCTTATCCATCCTTACGTTTCATGTTGCCTGCTGAGTGATTTAGTTTCAATAATAACTTGGCAAACACTTAGAACTCAAGAGACACTTCCCAACAAAATTGGGACTCCCAGCTGCCCTTGATAGATTGGGAGACATGGCAACATCTTGCCACGTGCCAGTACCTTCTGGGGCTGGATGGTGCCTGCCCACCTGTCCCGGAATCTGTGTGCTCTGGGACAGTGGCATTTGAAGCCCAACTCAGGAAGAGGGGAGGGGCTTGCAAACCCAGAGTTAGGTGAAGGAAGCTACCATTGCTAATAGAGACCATCGCCCCTTGCCAGAGGGGACCGAGGCACTTAGTGGCTTGGGGAAGTAGGGGCTGTTCCCATTATCCTCACTCTATAGACAAAGAAGCTCAGGGCTGGAGGGAGAAAGCCACCTGCCCAAGGCCACCGCCAGCAGGTCTCTGGGGCAGGTAGTTGCTGCCCTTTTCATGGGAAGGGCATTTTCCAGTTCCTTAGTCCCCAGTGGACTCGCTTGATTTATTCAGAATCCTGTAGACATTGGAATTTGTACCCCGAGCTGTAGAAAGGGTAATGTGCTCTGTGCGTCACAGGCTTAACTACACACATAATATGCATAGTGACCTTTGAAGTCAATGCTACCATTATCCCAGTTTATAGATGAGGAAGCTGATACACAGAGAGGTTAAGTCGCCTGCCCGAGGGCACACAGCCAGCAAGTGACAGAGCAGCCTGGCTCCAGGGGTCATGCTGTCAGCTACCCTCCTCTGCTGCCTGCTGGGGAGGAAACCTGACCTCCCAACCTCTCTCCCTGCAGGTGGTGGGCAGCTCCCTCCTCTTTGTGCATGACCACACCGGCCTGGCCAAGGTCTGGATGATTGACTTTGGCAAGACAGTGGCCCTGCCTGACCACCAGACACTCAGCCACCGGCTGCCCTGGGCTGAGGGCAACCGTGAGGACGGCTACCTCTGGGGCCTGGACAACATGATCCATCTCCTTCAGGGGCTAGTCCGGAGCTGACACACACGCCCACTGCCAGATTTATTTATTGGATGGTGCCAGTCCAGCTAGAGGAGCCCGAGATGCCACGGGTGGCTGAGGTTGGCAATGGGGGAGCTGATCCCAGGGATTGGAGATGTGGGGTTGCATACCACAGAAGACCAGTGTGGAAGGCCTGAGGGGCCCTGGAGACCAGGTAGCCCAGCCCTTTCATCACATGGGCATTAGAAGCACCTAAGGAGGGAGTGTGGCACGGCCAAGTCTCAGTCAGCAGAACCGGAACTGGGTCCCCTAACAGCCAGGGAGATTTCTGAGGGGCTGCTGGAGGCCACGGCAAGACCACACCACCCTCAGAGAACAGAGCAGATGGCATGGGGTTCAGGCTTGACACCATGCCTGACTACAGCCAGAAATGATGACGTAATCACCCCTCGCCAGACCTCCCTGGCCAGGACTCCGAGGCCAGCAGCTGGGTTAGGTTCCTCTTTGGTTCCCAGAAGACTAGGCATCCACTGTGAACAGATGCTGGGGCTGCGTCAGTTGGCCTGGGGGGGTTATGCCCAGGCTCTCCATCTGGGGGTGTTCCTGTACTCCACTGCAGGCTCTGAGGAGGATGTGACGTCATGGGATCATCAGCTGACACGACCCACAGTCCCATGCTTGTTGCTGACACTGGCAGGTGGCCTGGCCTGCCACCATGGCTGCCCTTGCTCCCCAGGGGACCCTCCTGGCTGACCTTCTGTAAACCAAAGCCACAGCCGCCCCCGAGCCTCTGAGCTAACACTGACCAAACAGCCTTGTCCCTCAGTGCACCACTTCCAGCCTCAGGACTTCCTGGCTCGCCTCCCTCCCTCCTCCTCCTGGACCGCTGTGGCAGGAAGGGGTCTCAGAGGCAAGGAGCAGGCTTCCCCCTTGGGAAAGAGAGTGGCCTCTGCGTGAAAGGTGTGCGGGGCTGGGGGCTCACTGCTGCGACGCTGAGCTTGCAACCCGGCCAAACCAAAGACTGGCCGCCTGACGTGGCCCCTCGGCCCCTGTCACTGCCCTCCTGGCCCTTCAAGGTGGCCTTGGAGAGGACAGGCACCTACCTCTTCCCCAAGCTGAAGCTCTGACGTCACCTCTAGGCCCGAGGAGATGACCTCCTTTCCTACTGACCTTTATACTATTTATAAGAGGTAGTTGTTAGGTGAGGTGGCATTGGGGCTGTAGGAGGCAGGGCCTCGCTGTGCCTCCCCCCCATGATGCCCCAATAAACAGAACACTCAGTCAGCTCTGTGGAATGCTTTCTTTGGCATCTGGGGTGCGTGGGCTGGACTCTCAGCCTGAGCATTAGTGCTGGGGCGGGGGATAATGGCATAACGATCACCCTGGGGCAGAGAGGCGGCACCGCGTTGGTTCACTCCCGCCTGGCTCTGTACTGGGCGGTGCAGGGGCACAGTCGTGACCAAGAGGGCTCCAAGCCTGCCTTCAAGGGCTCCCGGGACAATGCAGCCAGAGTACTAACCAGGACCGGTCAGGCTGGGATGGGGGGTTATAGGCAGGAGGGGTCAGGCCAAGACGGGGGAAGGTCCGGGTTTGGGCGAGATGGGGAGTGCAGGCACGAGGCTTCCATTTTGTTAGAAATACCCCCTGTGCACTCTCCTAACTGAAAACCTGGTTGGGCGCGGGGGACACAACAGTGAGCAGACAGAGCTGTTCCTCCCCTTTCCGGGCACCCAACCCAGCTGGGCGATGGCTGTTCGCTAAGGAAACCATTGTGTGCGCTCTGGGTGTGTACGTCTGCAGAGAAAACACAGCCTGCGACAGGTGCCGTGATGAAAAGGGTCCGGGAGGTGGGAGCCAGCCGGCTGCCTGTTAGCATGAGTCCTGGTCCTGCCCCGGGGAGCCCAGTGACCTCAGGCCAGGAGCTGCTCTTCTCTGGGCCCCTGTAAAGGGGGTAATCCTGTGCCACCCTTGTGGGGCTGGCGGATTGAAGAGTTACTGCAAAGCATGGGCCTAGAGCACAGAGGCTGGGGTAGGGCCTCGCCTGGGCCGAAGGACCTTCCCTGAGGAAGTGACACTTGACTGGCCTGAGCCAAGATGGGACTTAAGGAGCCGTCGGTGAGGGGGAGGGGGGAGGGTCTCAGGAAGGTAGATGACACGTCAGGGCCAGCAAGGCCAGCATGGCTGGAAGGCAGGAAATGTGGGGAAGACACACGAAGTGGGGCCTGGTGTCTCTGGGCTCCCGCAGATCACGGGAGTTAGCCCGTCCTGTGAGTGATGAGGAGCCCCTGTGAAAACAGACTGAGGGGGCAGCAGGGGCCCCAGCGAGGAGGCTCTTGCAGATGCCAGGGAACAGAAGGTGGTTGCCAGTGAGTCCCGACACAGGAGTGCTTAGCAGTGGGGGTGACGGGCTGGTGTGGGGTTGAGACTCGATGGAGAGGTATGGGGGACTCCATGTGAGGGGTCACTGGGCTGGAGGCCCTCAGAGAGCCAGCCCAAACTCCCGGTTGTTCCACAGAAGCAGCAGGGACACTGCACAGGTGACAAAGCCAAGCTTGTGGCCGGCCCCGTTAGCCCAGGCTCAGGGCTCTAGCAGGCTAGTGGCTAGCGCCGTGCGGTCTGAGGAGCAGGGCCTGGCCACACAGGCCAGACCGCACCCCGCCAGTGGGCACCACATACGACCGGCCATCGGCAGCCCGTGATGGCGAGAAGTCCGTCAGCTGCAGGTTGCTCTCCTGGACCTGGTCGTAGTCCCACAGCTGGTAGTGCCAACTCTTGCCCTGCTTGGAGAGCAGGTAGACGGTCCCCAGGGAGCCTTCCTTGGGCAGGGGTGGCGGCTGGCAAGGTGCGCTGGGCACTGGGTGGAACAGGCCCGCTAGTTCAGGGTCTTCTGCATAGCCAAGCCTGGGCACGTCTGGCACACCCAGGAGGACGCCTGGGAGGAGAGCAGCAGCAGACTGAGTCCTGCCCATGTCAGGGCCCAAGGAATCCCCCACAGCCCTCCAGGGTTACAGATAAATTAACAGAGGTCAGGGGTCACACAGCTGGGCTGGGATTGGGGCCTAGGAGTCAGGCCGCAGGGCCACAGGCATTTTAAGCCTGTCAGCATGGGGAGGTAGAAAGGCCAGTGTTAAACAGAACACCACTGTCACACTGTGTCCAGCAAAGACATACTCAGAGAAGGGCCCTCAGGCCACACGGCCCAGATGAGGCCCCGGACCCTGGACCAGGCATCCAGACAGGCACAAACCCTATCTTCTTTTGAGCAGGTGGAGGGAGAACAGTGTGACAGCTAACACCAACTGAGCACAGGTAGCGGGCTGGCCATCATCTGTGTTTCTCACTCCTGGACTCTGAGGCAGGTGGGCACCATGATAACTCCCATTTTCCAGATGGTGAAATGGAGGCCCAGAGAGGTGAAGAAACTTGTCTGGAGTCACAGAGCCCAGAAGCGGCTAGGCCAGGCCTGGAGCTCAGGCTGTTGGGTCTGTGTGGGTGGAAACTCTGATTGGCAGCCACAGCACCTAAGACACCTGCCATGTCAGGTCCAGTGCTAAGTGCCTTGTGTGGACAAGGAGGCGCGCATGACGAGAACAAGGGGATGGAGTGGGAGGCAGGCAGCCTTGGGCCTGGAGGGGTGTTGCACCCACCTGCGCTCACTGCCCAGTGGGCCTTGTAGCCCTTCCTCTGACACGGCTCATGATTGAAGTCTTCATCGTAGCTGGTACTGGCGTTAAGGTCAGAGCTATGGTCTGGGGGGTGGCCCAGGGACTTTCTGCCATCCCACCTTGCCCTCTCCCTGACCCTGGGATACGGGATGAGCAGAGGGTATCCAGCGATGAGATGCTGCAGGACGCGGTCTCTGTTGGGACCACCCAGGCCACCACAGAGTAGCTCGGCTTGGCAGCCCAGGGCCTCCTGGGCCAGCCTGCCCATGTCAGCCACTGCAGGGTGACGGCAGACACAGAAAGAGGCCTTACCACGTGCTAGGCCCGATCTCCATGGGGCTGGATACCTCTAACCCTCACCACTCTCACCACCTCTTCTGCGCAAATGCTAAAAATGAGGCACAGAGAGGGTGATCTGCTTGCTCCAGGCCACACAGCAAGGAGATAGCTCTGCTATCTGAGGCCGGTGGGCCAGCTCGGCTAGGATTTGGAACCCAGTGTCCACCTCGTAACTACTCTGCAAAAAGGGCCTGAGGAATAACGTGAGAACCTGCCCCACCCCTGGCAGTGCTGTCCCTAGCCCCAGCAAGTGAAGACCACCCTCCAGCCCCTAGCTCACCAGAGAACATCTCCCCTTGCGCGGTATAGCCTCTCTCCACTGCCACCTGCAGGAGTTTCTCCAGGGGGACACCGTTGGGAGGTGCTAGGAGAGTGCCTGCCATCCACAAGGCCACCAATCCACACCTGGGTAGAGACAGGCAGGGGCCCACCCCTTGACCCCTGTCATTTAGTTACTGGACCCCCTCTCCACAGGAGCTGGAGTGTGGGGACCGGGTTTGCTGCCCTGGGGAAATCCTCCTCCCATCTCCCAGGCCAGGCGGGAAGAAACCTGACGCCCATCACGGGGACAGAGCCCAGGGCTGGAGGGACTAGGAGGGAGGGTGGGAAGAGGCACCAGTATGGGGTTAGAGAGGATGGACCAGGTTCACTTGTTCACCCATGCATGTGTCCATCCACTCACTCATTCATTCCAAATCTCTGCTCATTACGCATGCAGCCGCGACCCTGCCCTGGCAGGTGTCCCCTTCCTTCCCAGCCTGCCTCCAGGCGAAGTCCAGCAAGGGCAGAGGCTCACGGCACAGGATGGGTGAGAGGGTAGGGTCCCAGCTCAGAGCACGTACTGAGGGCCTTCCTGGATGAGGGACGGCAGGTCGGCACAGAAGAGGATCCACTGCAAGTCACTTCTGAAACTAAGAGTGACACTTGGTCAGGTGAGGACAGCTCTGCGAGCCCGCCTCCAGGTCTGGTGCAGAGGGGAAGGTAAGGGCTCGGAGGCCTGGGTGTCTAAGGCCCCACGGCGGCTCCCGGCTCCTCACTGAGAGGCTCCTTGTCCCGATGAGGCACCTGCCCTCCCCGAGCCTCAGTTTCCTCATCTGGCCATCAGGAATCACCCTGCCCCCTGGCCCTTCTCAGCTACTGAGGGGGCGAAAGGCAGATGTGCCAAAGCCGTGTAACTAGGAGCCAGACAAACTAGAGGAGATATCTCTAAGGAGAATGTAACACTTATGCTGTTAACCATAAAACCACTCACTACCACTGAGTCGATTTCGGCTCATAGTGACCCTCACTGGGTTTCCAAAGCAATAAATCTTTATAGAAGTAGATTGTCCCATCTTCTTTCCATGAAGTGGCTGGTGGGTTTGAACCGCCGACCTTCTGGTCAGCAGTCAAAAGCTTTAAGCCCTGTACCACCAGAGCTCCTTTACACTTCTAAGTGAGGTGAAAAGCCCTTAACGTAAGTGAGATTTCCGAGACTCAGTCAAGACTCTCAAGGAGTCCTCACCAGCCCCACCCTTGGGGAGACCAGGGGGACAGCTCCAGTGACCTCACCCTCCTCCCTCTGCCCCAGAGCTCAGGAGGGGACAGGCATTGCGCTCTGTTCCCATCCTAAAGTCAGTGAGAAGGGGAGGCTGAAGGGCAGAGCTCCTGGTCCCAGGTTTGGAGGCCCCTCCTGACCGGTGACAGCACCGTGGTTAAAAGCTGAAGCCATGCTGACTAGGTGCAAATTGGACCCTTCCTCTCGTTAGGAGCTCTGGTTGCCCTATGGTTAAGGGATTGGGCTGCTACCAAAAGCTTGATGGTTCGAACTCACCAGCTGCTCTGCAGGAGAAAAATGAGGCAGTCAGCTTCTGTAAAGCCTCCCAGCCCATGAGTTGCTATGGGAAGATGACAGCACAGTCGTTGAAAGTGTGAAGCCACTCTGCCCAGCTGCATATTGGCCTTTTCCTCATGTTAGAGCTTAATTTCTAAAGCACTAGGGCTGTGGAAGGTTGTAGCCTACAGTAAGGAGCTCTGGTGGCGTAGTGGGAAGGCTACTAACCAGAAGGCTGGTGGTCTACAGTGTTCTGATGCCAGTTGAGTTCTTTCTGACCATTAAACCAGCAGTGTGGCCACACAGAGAAGTCTGGGACAAACCTGGGGGCTGCAGTTTGCCTTCAGGAAGTGTGGCTGGAAGTGCATTATGTTCAAAGAACTAGGGAACTTGCCTGGGCGTGTCCCTATCTAATTTAAAGGTTGGGGTCATGAGTCATACCTGGACCACCCTGTAGCCAGGTGGTCATGCCCCAGAACCAATCCTGAAACCCCTTTAATCTCCAGTGTGTACTTATCCCAGTCCAGCTCCTTCCCTCGCTCTGCAGTCCCGCCGGCCATAGTGATGGACTGATTTGCCATCAGTCAGGATCTGGCCCCTTCCTTCACCCTCTATAAACGTGATGAACACCATGACGGTGACTCAGGGGCTCCGTTGGACTTCTGTACTGTGCACATGCTGACGGTTTCCCTCCTGGGCGACTGCCTTTGTTGTGTCTCTGTCCTGTCTAAGGCTTAATAAAAAGGTCCCTGTTGCACCTGTTACAATCTGGGGCCTCTTTTCTCCTAACACACTCTTAATTCTGCGGTTCAGTGACTTCACCTCTGGGAGCCTGTTTCCTAATAGATCCTATCTCACTGGGTTGCTGAATCAAGGAAGTTAATCCAAAACACCCTTAGAAAGGTGTCTGATGTATAGAGAGCACACAATAACCACCCCTCCAACATAAAAACAACCAAACCCACTGCCATGGAGTCAATTCTGACTCACAGCGCCCCTAGAGGACAGGCTAGAATCGCCCCATAGGGTTTCCAAGCTTTCAAATCTTTTGGAAGCTGACTGCCTCTACTTTTTCCCATGGAACAGCTGGTGGATTCAAACAGTGACCTTTTGGTTCGCAGCTGACTGCCTTAATTACCACGACACCAGAGCTCCCCCCCCCCCCCAATAACAGGTGGATGTTATTTGTGTTCAACTGTGGTTGGGGCATTTAGAACAGACTGTCAGCTCCTGGGGAGCTCTGGTGGCCTAGTGCCTAAGGCATATGACTGCTAACCAGAAGGCTGGTGGTTCAAACCCACTTTGGAAGGAAGGTTGGGCAATCTACTTCCGTACAGACACCGCCTTGGAAACTCAAGGAGGGGTTGCTATAAATCAGATCCAACTCCACCTCCACGGCAGTGAGTTTGGTTTTTTGGCTTAGTCAGCTTCTGAGGAGAGCTTGGAAGTTTCCTCTGAGTCTAGGCAAGTCACTCCCTGCCTTGCTCCCCCCAGACCCCATCTCACTTGAGCTCAACCTCCCTCCCCTGCCCACCACCTCAGCCCTGGGCCAGGGCCCTCCCCTGCAGCCTAGGTCCTCCAGCCTCTTCCCTGGGCTCTCGGCCTTACCTCACCGCATACCATCAATCTCCACAGTCAATGGCCCACAGGTAGCTTCTTTCCACACTCCCCAGAGCCCTCAGGACAAGGTCCAACCCCCATTACATGGCCCACCAGGCTGCCTCCTGTGTGATCTGGCCCCCATCCCTCTTTACCACCTCCTGTACCAGGAGCTCTGGTGGCGTAGTGCCTAAGGCATCTGACTGCTAATCTGAAGGCTGGCGGTTCAAACCCACCAGCCACCCCTAGGAATGAAGGTTGGGCAATCTACTTCCATAGTGATATTGCCTCGGAAACCCAAGGAGGGGTCGCTGTGAGTTGGATCCAACTTGACAGCGGTGAGTAACCTTAAGGAAATCTTTGCAGTTCCCTGAAAACCACATGCCCTCAGGAACTCTGGGCCTCTCCCCAACCTGTTTGCTTTACCTCCTCACCCATCCCCCATCCCCTGCAAGACTTGCTCAACAAGCACTCAGGGCTCCCCTCTTCCAGGGAGCCCCTCAGGCTAGGTCAGGTACCCCTTTTGGTCCCTCTCTCCACAGCCCTGACGCCTGTGGGCTGCCACTGTTTGGTGCCTCCTCCATGGAACTAGGCGCTTGTGGTGGCAGGGGCCTTCCTCATCACTGGAGGCACAGTCCCACTGGAAGGTTCTAAGGAGGGGACTGAACCAATCAGGCTGTTTGACCTCGAGGCAACAGGAAACCCCGAGAGATGGCTGCCACTGCAGGGGGCAGGTTAGATGGCTGAGTGGGGGAGGTGGGGACCCTACCGGTCCTTGCGCAGCTTCAGAAGCCTCTTCACGTCCTCTCTGCCCGTGGGGACCGGACCAGCCTTCTCCAAGGCCTCCTTCAACAGCTGGCTCTTTTCCATTCCGAAGACGTGAGGGGGAGCAGGCCCGGAAGCCGGGGGTGGAGGCGGCAGTGGGGGGGGTGGGGG